GGACACGTTTACTTCACGGGTTACTAAACGGTGCTTATTAAGACCCGCGTTAATAAGCGGCACATAAAATAAGCGATCTTGTAAGATCATGTTTACTTCAAAGGGTTTAAAACACTGTTTAACATTAAAATGTCCAAAATAACCACATACATATATAGACACACAAACATTCATAAACACGAGTATATAATATACTATGTGGGGTCACCTCGTACGTGTACCCATACCCCTGACCCCCAGCCCGCCCTATACCTTGTACCCATGCCCCTTCCATTACACCCTACCCCTAATTCCACACCCTTGACCCCCTACCCTTACCACGACCTTACCCTCTACTCCCCTTCATACCCACCCACTTACAACAACTACCCTACTCATAAGGGTGAGGCAGGGGTTGGGGTAGGGTCGAGGTAAGGGCATGTGGTATGGGGTAACGGGGTAGGGTCAGGGTAGGGTAAGCGAGTGCGAGTGGGGGTGGGTTTATGGTCGAGGGTAGGGCGGGTGTGACGGGGTAGGGTGGGATCGAGGTAGGGGAAGATGGTAGGGGATAAAGAGGTAAGGAAGGTGCGGGTGGGGGTGTGGGGTAAGGGGTAATGGGTTCGGGGTGGGGTCAGGGTCAAAGTGGGGCCAAGGTAGGGGCATGGTACGGGGTGGGGTAGGGTCGTGGTTAGGGGTAAGGTACGAGGATGAGGGTATTGAGCAGGGTAGGGCCAATATCGGTGTAGGGGTAGTGGAGGGGGTCGGGGGTAGGATGGGATCGGGATCGGGGTGGGGGAAGGATAGAATTAGGGTGGGGTCGGGGTGGATCCGAGGTAGGAGTATGTGGTAGGGGTGGGGTAATGGTCGTGGGGTAGGTTAGGGTACGGTAGGGATAAAAGGTAAGGTACGAGGTGTAGGGTGGGTTGGGGTCAAGGTGGTAGGGGTGGGGGTAGGATGACAATATGGTGGGGTCGAGATTGGGGTGGGGCCGAGGTAGTGGCATGTGGTAGGGGGTGGGTAGGGTAGTTGTAGGGAAAAAGGGTACGCGGGGGTTGGGGTAATGATTAGGGGTAGGGTAGGGTAAGGTACGAGTAGTGGGTAGCGCGTGGGGCGGGGTGACAGGGTCGGGGTTGGGGCAGGTAGAGGTAGCGGGTGGAGGGGTAACAATAGCGTAAGGGCAAGAGGTAAGAGTAAGGGTATATTCGGAAACTGAAAAAACATAAAGTACCGCTTAATTAATACATGTGGGGTGATATGTTTAGTAAGCACCACTTTAAGCATTTTTTTCGATTAGTAAGCAACTTTTTAAACAGCGTGCATGTTTACTTCATCTTGTTGGAGCTTAGATTTGGGCGATAGGAGGTCTACGATTATCGTTTTTGGCTCAGTTGTGCCGTTAATGGATTAACGAGTTATATCACTTCTGGTGAGGTGGTTAACTTTAAGTCTGATTTGAAGGTCCACGATTGCTAGCAGTCTTTTTGTCTTTGTTAGCCCATACCTGTATCCATGATATCAATATAAGTCATTTTTCATCAGGGAAAAGAACATTGATCAACCAAAAAATGTTGACTTTACTAACATAGATATTTTCCAGTTTTTCAGAAAACTGAAAAACTGTAAAACATAAAACAGGAAACGTGTTTACCTAAGAAATTGCTGGAAAACTGGAGAAAGGAAAAAAGAAAAACACGTTTACCAAATCGTTTTCCAAAACGGAAAAAATGAGACATGTCTCTCTTTTCCTTAATGATCTGGAGAAGTGACTTTTACTAGTTTACCAAATTTGGAAAACGCAGATGCTACAGTGTCGCTGCAATGAATTTGCATACTTACACCTAGTGGTGGGTTCGGTCCCACTCCGATGTCGATTCCATTCCGGTACCTTCATCCTCGTACCTTACCCCTTACCCCTACCCTTCCTACCCACCCAACCCCACCGTGCGTACCCATTTTTCCCTATAATGATCCTACCCCACCCCCTACCACATGCCCCTACCTCGGCCCCACCCCGATCCACCCTACCCTACAGCCACCCCCTACCACCTCGACCCCACCCCGACCCACCCTATTACCCCTTACCCCTTACCACATGCCCCCTACCTCGGCCCCACCCCGATCCACCCTACCCTACAGCCACCCCTACCACCTCGACCCCACCCCGACCCACCTTATTACCCCTTACCCCTTACCACATGCCCACTACCTCGGCCCCACCCCACCGCCATCCTACCCCCACCCTCCCGCCATCCTACCCCCACCCTACTGTACCCTTCCCCTACCTCGACCCCACCCGGATCCCGGGCCCACCCTACCGCCATCCTATTCCAACTCCCTACCCTACCTATACCTTACCCCAACCCTACCCACTACCCCCACCCTTACCGCCATCCTACCCCTTCCCTACATCGGCCCCACCCTGGTCCCGACCCCACTCCCTACCCTACCCCTACCTTACCCCAACCCTACCCACTACCCCACCCTTACCTTAACCACGACCCTAACCCACCCACTACCCCCACCCAACCCCCTAACCCTAGACCTTACCATCCACCCCGACCATACCCCTTACCCCACCCCCACCCATAACTTCCTTACCCCGACCCCTACGAGTAGGTATGGGTGGGTATGAAGGGTTGTGGGCATTGTTCTAAAAATCGCTCTAGGCGCCCGACTAGTCCTCCGCCTAGGCTAGGCGGTGGTCGGGCGCCCCAATTTTAGTCTAGGCGCTCCGACTAATTGAATCGGCGTCTAGGTGAATTCGTTGGCCGTCTAGGGCGCCTAGTTGCCCGCCCAGAGCGCTTAATGGGCCGCCTAGGGATCTAGATTCATCGAACATTTTTTTAGTATCCTAAGAAATATGTACCTTTAACTTTGACAATGCATGTGAATAAAGCTACTAGTGAGTAAGTGAGTAGATACAATTATTAAATATGATAACTCTATCATTCATGCATGTTAATGTGTGTGTGTGTTTTTTATACACACACAAACACAACATTACTAGTTATATTTATGCAAAAATATTAATAAAACTACAATTTCAATGTCTCCGATTAGTCCCCACCTAGGCGCGTGACATTCGTGTTATTTCCATGTTTATATTTGTGCTTTTGATTAGTTTTGAGTGATTATTACTCTAGAAATTACACACTTTTGGTGTAATAGTTTAGTTTGTAAAATGTTTGTAAATTGTTTAGATTAGGTTTGTTCTGAGCTCAAACAGGTCCAAGACCACTCTAGGGACCATTGGTGAACATCACAAGTGGAAGGAAGGTGCAAAAATTCCAAAACAAAATGAAGATCCTGATTTTTTGTGTTGTACCCGGTCGAGTATACCCTATACTCGATCGGGTAAGTTGCTGAAAAGTCAAATCGAATCAACCCGGGAACAAGGCAACATGCAGGAAGATTTTTAACTCGATCGGGTATGACCCCAGATTTTCAGTTTCGAGGAAACTAACCCTTACCCGATCGGTTGAGCTGAAAACCCGATCGGGTACACGACCCTGCAGGCCTAAAAAGCCTATAAATACACCCCATTTCCTCCACAAGAAAGGTACCAATTCACATATACTCTTTAGCTCAGTTTAGATTAGTGTTTTCTTTATATTTTCTATCATGTTTAGTCTCCAAATGAGGAGCTAAACTCTTCCATCTTGGTTTTGCTACTTTGAAGCTTAATGAATTTGTAAGTTGTGAGTTATTATCTTTAATCTTCTTCCTTGAATATTAATTCTTTCTTTAAATACTATTTCTATATCAATGTTGGGGAGTGTTACTAAGATGACAATTAGTTAACATCTTGACATTAGTTATAGTAATAGTTATTTCTTCCTCTACGTTAATATCGGGGAGTGTTACTAAGATGACAATTAGTTAACATCTTGATATTAACTATAGTAGGATTCATCTTCTTTAATATTCTCCCTTGAGTATTAATTAATTCCTATTCATATTTTATATTAATATTTTGAACATTACTTAAAGGATCAACTAGTTTTGTTTCATATATTAATTATTACTAGAATCGGTCGATTAATACGCTTGTTATTAATTCGGTCCTTTCGCGGTAGTAAACTTGGGTTATTAATGCATGCGTTTCATGGTTAATAAACCAAGGGAAATTAATTATATTGATTAAACCAATAAACCGCTTGTGTTGAGGTTATCAATCTCAATCGTTTTCATCTTGATTTTATTGCTACTATCGAGTGAATATACGGCGCGTGTTCTATATTAACTCGGTAGTAAGTTTTATTAATGAACGCGTCTCGTTATTAATAACTACCCTCGATGAATTGGATATACTCCTCGATTGAGTATTCGAGAGGAAGATAGTTAAAGATATAACCGGGATCGATGAACATTTCATTAAGTGGATAAAAGCAAAGCCAAGTCTTCTTCTCATTAATTAAACCACATAACTCGTTCATCTTCGTATTTAAATATAATTTAAAGTTCATCAACCAAATATAAACCCCCCCTTATTGTTACTTATCTATTTCTGTAAGAAGAAAAGTATTCCTTTCCCTGTGGATACGAACCTTACTACACTATACTACGTATTAGTGTCGTATTGTATTATTACTTTGAGTGCACCTCACGACAAAGTGCACGTCAGCGCGCACCTAACCGACTAGGCACTGGGCTGGCGGCCGACTAGCGCCTAACGCCTTTTAGAACATTGGTTGTGGGGGAGTATGAGTAGAGTGTAATATCGTGGTAAGGATAAGGATAGGGGTCGAGAGTGTGGAATTGGAGAACTGGGTGAAAAAATTGATAAACATGTTTTCAGATTGGAAAATGGAAAACTAAAAAATAGAAACAGAAAATTGGAGATAGAAAAACTGAAAAATAAAAACAGAAAATTGGAGAACGAAAAACAGAAGTAGAAAACAAGAAAATATCTGTGTTAGAAACGGATTGTTTTTTTAAATACCTTAGACAGATTGTGCCCCTATCTTCTTAGACGGATTGTTCTTTTAAATACCTTAGCTTTCGTCTCTAGACCTTCATTAAACTAAGCAACGTAGATCCTTATTTCATTTCAGCAGATCGTATTCTTGTCTGATTGCTGGACCGGCACTATAAGATCGTATTCGTTCAGAAGATGGTAGCTTATTTAGTTGAGCGTCGTTATGTGCCAGAAAACGGCGCTTCCCATTCCACAGCAGAGCAGGGGAACGATGACGCTTTAATCCAGGAGGAACTGAAGGGCATTGTACATCACGACTATGGTTCCATTGCGGCTAAGGACTTCGGCGGCATGCACACGGCCAAGCCGTTATGCGTTGTCAGGCCAGCGGATGCAGACGACGTGGCGCGGGTTGTCAGGATTGCGCTGCGGTCGCCCTCCCTCACGGTGGCCGCTAGGGGTAACGGCCATTCCGTCCACGGCCAGGCCATGGCTCACGGCGGCGTCGTTGTCGACATGAGATCCCTGAACGCCGCCGCCTCCGACTTTAACGGAATAACCGTCTCCCGCAACTGTAGCAAATCCGGAGGCCCGTACGCTGACGTCGGCGGCGGGACCTTGTGGTCCGACGTGCTGAAGCGCTGCGCCTTGGGGTACGGATTGTCCCCGCGGTCGTGGACGGATTACCTGGATTTAACGGTGGGCGGGACGCTGTCGAACGCCGGCGTTAGCGGCCAGGCTTTCCGCTTCGGCCCACAAACGTCAAACGTAACAGAGCTGGAAGTGGTCACCGGCAACGGGGATATAACCGTCTGTTCTCACTCCCACAATTCCGAACTCTTCTTTTCCGTTCTCGGTGGTCTTGGGCAATTCGGTATTATCACCCGCGCACGGGTATTGCTTCAACCCGCCCCGGATATGGTTAGTATTTTATTCTTTTGCATTTCAAATTCGATCAATAATTTTGCTTTTGCGCTTAATTAATTACGAGTACTAATTAATTAATTACGTGCAGGTGAGGTGGATAAGAGTGGTGTACAGTGAGTTCGACGAGTTCACTCGGGACGCCGAGTCACTGGTGACTCGGGACCGCTCGGTTGACTACGTGGAAGGATTTGTGTTCGTCAACAGCGATGATCCTGTGAATGGCTGGCCATCCGTGGCAAGGGATCTAGGTCACCAGTTTGACCCGGCCCGAAAACCCAAGAATGCGTGTCCTGTTTTGTATTGCCTTGAGGTGGCCCTAAATTACCGAAATGATCACCATCCCTCCACCGTTGACTTGGTAAACCCACTATCCCTATCACGCCACCTTATTCATTAATTAGCCTACTCTAGTTTTTTCCCTACTTTTTGCCCCAATCTGGGATCGGGTTGCAATAAAAACTTTACTAGTCCATCGACCCGTGCGTTGCACGGATAAACAAAGAACTTTTTTAATGTATAATCATGTTTAATAAATAGAAAACGTTGGAATGAAATAAATCATAACCAATACATGTACTTAGGATAAACATACGTGCAATGTTTATTTGTTAAAAAAACCGTTAATATTAATACTGAAAAAACGGTGAATGAAAATATTACCAAACATTTTTAACCATTTAACCCAATAATAAATACCCATTCAATGTAATACATGCATATCGAATATCAATCCTTTCTACCTTATACAGATTAACCGCTCGGAATGAGCGTATATTTGCCACTAAAGATTTTTCTGAATGTTCTTTCTCTTCGTAATACTTCTCTCAAAGTCAAAGTTTCGCAAATGATCAACTCTATGACCTTGACACTAATAAGTTACTTCACATCACTAATAAGTTACATCAAAACAAATAGAAGAATGGGTGAAAAGGGGAACCGTTCAACAAATTGAACACCATAGTTCATTGAACATTAATGAAAAGGTTTTTTTTAATCAATAAAAAGGTTAGAAATTGTAGCAGCTAAAATAGGCGATACTTTATGAGGTATTAAAATTTATTAATGCTCATATATGTGAGATTAATAATCATGTATGTAAATTAAGGGGGTGTTTGGATCTGATTCTCAAAACTGATTCTGCTCCTTTAGGGAGCAGAAGCAGAAGCTGGAGTGTTTGGGTAAAATTCCAGAAGCACTAATTACTCCTAGAATAAGTTTTTTTAGAAGCTGGGGGGTACCAGCTTCTGAAAACTGATTTTGATTCTGCTTCTTCTTTAAAAAAAGAAGCATAAGCAGAATCAGTTCCAAACACCCCCTAAAACTACATTAATATTATTCTTTTTGTACCTAATTACTTCTTACACTGTTTTACTTAATATCTATATTTTAATTATTTTTTATACCAATTAACTTCAATGAAATTGATGTAGTTACCGTAGAAACCATTTTAGGTATTTTATCTTATACTACCTCCGTCCGAAAAGGATTGCTATATATTGATTTTTTTTGTCAATGAAGAAAACATGCTAACTCATTTAACTCATTCAATTGATTGGATTATCACAAAGCGGGGTCCTTGTTCTTTTTGGGTACTATCTTTGCAGTGATTTCAATTTGAATCGGTAGTTTATACGGAGTATATCTTACCTTATAAGATAGTATATACATACATAAATTAACAAATTTGATGCGGATATTTTTAGAAACAAATTTAATGACCACTGTTAGATGTAATTTTGGCATCATTGAGAATTTTTCTTACCGTGTACGTACTACTCCCTCCGTAACAAAAAATATCTTCCCACTTTCCTTGTTTATCCGTAACAAAAAAATCTTCTCATTTCTCAATCTTTCCATTTTAGGTATTTTATTCTTCATACCACCACATTATTCCATTATTTTCCCAACATACCCTCTATAATTCATATTCTCTTTCACTATTCTTAATCTACCTACTTTTGAAGTGGAAAGATTTTAAAGTTACGGAGGGAGTAATTTATTTAGAAATAAAATATTAACATTTATAAAATAATTTTGCCCTGTAAATCTGTAATACACACGTTTTTTTTGGGACGACATGTTTTGTTATTACTAATTATCATTTTTATACAAAATCATTTAGACAATAATTTTATTATTATATTTGTATCATATTTATACATTTTATATTTTATGAAAATATTTTTAATAGAAATTGAATATTTTACACCCAAAAATGATTATGTATAAAAAAAATATAACTTTCAAATGATTTTGTATTAAAACATATTCACCACAACTTTTACTTTTCAACCACTTCATTAATAACTATTCCAAGTCAAACTAAGACACATAAAATGAGACGGGGGTAGTATATTTTATTTACCATATTTATCCATAAATTTAAGAAGTTTAAATTTCTATTTTCACCGTACGAAGCTTAACTTTCCAAAAAAAAATTAAAAGGAAAACTCAATTAATGTGCAACATATTATATTTTATTTATCATATTTATATACTTATTCTCAATAAAATTTACGGAACTTAAATTTGTTTTACCTTACGAAGCTTAACTTTCCAAGGAAAGCTTAAAGGAAAACTTGATTAATCATACGTTACAGGAGCATATATATATTAGTTATATATGTGATGAACATATGGGTTTGTAATTAATACTTAAGCATTTCATTAATACTTCTCCAACAAAATTTCACTTCTTTGGGCGGCAAAATCTTCTCATTTCTCAATCTTTCCATTTTAGATATTTTATTCTTCATACCACCACATTATTCCATTATTTTCCCAACATACCCTCAATAATTCATATTCTCTTTCACTATTCTTAATCTACCTACTTTTGAAGTGGAAAGATTTTAAAGTTACGGAGGGAGTAATTTATTTAGAAATAAAATATTAACATTTATAAAATAATTTTGCCCTGTAAATCTGTAATACACACGTTTTTTTTGGGACGACATGTTTTGTTATTACTAATTATCATTTTTATACAAAATCATTTAGACAATAATTTTATTATTATATTTGTATCATATTTATACATTTTATATTTTATGAAAATATTTTTAATAGAAATTGAATATTTTACACCCAAAAATGATTATGTATAAAAAAAATATAACTTTCAAATGATTTTGTATTAAAACATACTCACCACAACTTTTACTTTTCAACCACTTCATTAATAACTATTCCAAGTCAAACTAAGACACATAAAATGAGACGGGGGTAGTATATTTTATTTACCATATTTATCCATAAATTTAAGAAGTTTAAATTTCTATTTTCACCGTACGAAGCTTAACTTTCCAAAAAAAAAATAAAAGGAAAACTCAATTAATGTGCAACATATTATATTTTATTTATCATATTTATATACTTATTCTCAATAAAATTTACGGAACTTAAATTTGTTTTACCTTACGAAGCTTAACTTTCCAAGGAAAGCTTAAAGGAAAACTTGATTAATCATACGTTACAGGAGCATATATATATTAGTTATATATGTGATGAACATATGGGTTTGTAATTAATACTTAAGCATTTCATTAATACTTCTCCAACAAAATTTCACTTCTTTGGGCGGCAAAATATGTTTCTACCTGAAATCCCACCTTGTTATCTTTATATATATAAAGATTATACGGAGTACGTACTCGTATTAATTAACAATAAATTCCAAATTGCATATTCTTTCAGGACGAAAGAATTAGGGAGTTACATATGGTTTAATAATTAAATTAACGGTTGTTAAAATCATTAAATTCTATGATTTCGTAAGAAGAGATAAATAAGAACATGTCGTTATTTCTTTAACCTCCCTAAAGAAATCAAATCACACTTTCCTCTTCAAAAACAACATTTTCATTATTTTCTAAACTAAAGCTCAGCTCAAAGTACACGTTAGTTTTCCTATTTTTGGCCCGCCATGCAAACTTTTAGACGTTTACAATACGGAATCGTGTATATGAGTGGAATTTCGAAGTTAATTAGAATTTCAGTGTATAACTCGCACCAAAATGAAGTACTCGATGAAATTATGAGTGCTTGGTGAAAGAATGGAACATGAACAACGCCATGACAATATTTACTACAATTATTGAATCAATATTGTCTAAATAGTTGTAATACTAGACATTGATATGATATTATTTATTATCAATAATGATACTAAAAACATATTTCCTCCTATTCTAAGGCGATTTCCCTACTGCCGTTACTGTAATACCTTTCCCATTTTCTGACGGAATATAAAAAAACTAAAGTTGCGCGACTAGATTTTTTTTGCTAAAAATACACGTAACACAAATTTTTAAACTAATGTCGCTTCCACAAAAAACTAGATTTTACTTGAACCCATTTTATATTTTATTATAACCTGAAAAAGTAAAATAAAAACATTTAATGATTTTTTAATTTATTTTTTAACATCAAAATGTGCATCTCTTAATGTCATATTTGTTGCGGGAAAAGAAATCAAAGAAGAACATTACTTATAGTCTTATAGTAATTAACTAATTTTTTACTAAAATGGAATTCATAAAATATTCGGTATATTTAACTGACGGTCCTACAATGTAAGGAAAAATGGTATTGAAAGAATCCATACACAATTTTCGACATAGTTCATATTTAATTTTTTTAAACGGGGTAGGGATGTGGATAGCGTATTGAAAGTTTGGAACAATGCGTCTTTCAATTGCAGCCAGCCTTGACCTACAACCAAACGTCGACCAATTTATGTGGCTTAACTTACGTCCAATGATCTAAATATCTAATAACCACAACATGTTACGACATAATTTTAGTCTCCATGTTTCTTGACTTCTTGTTATGATAACAAATACGGATTATTAATGCGTTTTTTAAAAAATGGGATTAAAGTACAAATTAACTCTTTAATTATGATAATAGAACTTGTTATTACTTATTACCCCAGTTTTAACTTTGGACTTTGTGTTTTTTGACAAACCTTTTGACTTTGTTAATGCTCGTGAATCGGGGCGTTAAGTTTTATCAGGAAGATAGCATGTGTAGTTATGTAATGTAATTAGTTTTTGTGTGTGGAAGATATGTAATGTAATTAGTTGACCAATTCTAATGATGTTTTCTTTTGTCTTTTTGTGAAATGAAATGGGGTTCCGTGTGTTGAGTCTTTTTTTAATGATTAGGCATCATTTGTATGCTATAGATGGTATAAATTCAAAATGGTAATTATGCCGAAATATACATTACTCCGTATTTTAATAAAGTGGAAGGCGACCCTACGGCACAAAACGCAATCTTCTATTGGATTTGTTTGACACCAAAGCAAGCAGCGTGCGGAACTGTCCATAGAATCAGCGATTATGTTACTCCCCGAGATTCACACGTATCTTCCTGCAGCCCCTCGTATCCCACAAATTTTGCCCTCCGTTTAAGAATGTTTTCTTTTCCTGCAGCCCCTCGTATCCCACAAATTTTGCCCTCCGTTTAAGAATGTTTTCTTTTTGAATTGTTTTCAGTACCGGACCAGATCAGATCAAATCAGATCAGACTTCCGTAATTATAAAATACACAGAGACCAAGCGTTTACTAGATAAGACCAGACCAGATCAGACCATATCAGACCAGCAAATTTCAGTCCAAAAGAAAACATCCTACTGTACACATCATTCCATGAAGAGTCTTGTTAATTGTTAACTCTAATTTAAACAGGTGAGAAAAAAGTTTGAATCTTTACCATTGATGAGATTCTGATTGTAGACTTGTAGTGATTCAAATTGTCCGAATATGTTAAATTATAGAAAAATTAAATTTAAAATAAATTTTATTAATAAAATTAAGAAAAAGTAACACCCAAAAAGCTAAAATACTCATTTACAATATCTTTAGTCAATTCAGCCAGTAAAATGACCCCATTCTTATTTATTTTTATTATTAAAAAGAAAAAGAACAATTGGGCTAATTAGGAAAAGAATAAGAGGACGTTTGACAACATCATTTTTCGGCTTATCAAGCTTATCAGTCAACTTTTTCACCAAACACGTAACTTTTACTTTCGCGCGCTGAATTGTGTAATAAGCAGAAAAAGGAATGTTGGAGTTACTTTTCTGGCTGTATTGGCTGAAATTACTGTAGATGACCATTTTAGCTATTTTTACATATAATTTTTTCTTTGTTTTATTAATAAAATGTATTTTAAAAATATTTTTTACTCAAATCATCAGAAACCGCCAAAGCAGCCACTTCAGCCAGAACTTCATAAATTTCAGTAGAATCAGCCGAAACTGCCGATTTTTGTGCATCAAACGGACCATATAATTTGCTTTTACGGCTTTCTTTGGTAAATGATTAATGAGCCATTTTTATTGTAGGGTGGACCAACTAAAATGGAGTAGATGTTTGATAAAATATATTTATAGATTACTTTTTGATAAAATAAGGCTATTTTTTGCTAATATACATTTACTTTTTTAATTTTTTTATTGTAAATTAAACTTTGATTTACTTAGATAAAATAAATCTATTAGAAATTATAGGAAGAAGAGACATACGTAGTATATTACTCTAATTATATTCTTATTGTTGCGTAAGAAATTATAGGGCTACTTCTACTCTTCTAGTTCTACTTAAGGTTAATAACCGTGCTGTCCGTGCATGCTAATTAATGTCATAGCTCCAGAACAAATCTAATAATCAAATTAACGCAATGGCAAGCTTAATAGTCTAATAAAAATTCCAAAGTATGTCATTTTAGAACACTTCATACTAAGAGCAATTATTTCAAAACACTTTTTTTTTGGTAAAACTATTTCAAAACACTTTAATAATTGGTGTATGTTATGACCCAAGTATACATATGGCATTGTTTATTAATACTCTGTATGAATTATGATTTCTGGTAAATGCGTGATTTTTAAAAATAATACACTCCATGACTCCCATATTAGTCTTTATATTTTTCTTTTTTGACAACAATTCCAAAATAAATTTTGTTTTATCTTTTGGGAAAATCGCACTTTTAGTCCCTGAAATAGTCACTAAAATGAAATGTCAGACCCGTATTTCTAGGATTGTAAATGTCACCCCCAATTGTCCAAATTGTTGTAAATGTGGTCTTTAAGGAGGTGAAATATGTTTTCGTCCACATTGTATATTTCACCGCTCAAAGGACTACATTTACAACATTTTGGACAATTGAGTGACGACATTTATAAACTGAGGAACACTGGTCTGGCATTTCAATTTCGTAAGGGACTAAAAATGTGATTTTCGCTTTATCTTTTTGACAAACTAATGTTTGGTAAGTTAGTTATGATGATTGATAAATTGAATTTGATTGTTTGTGAGACGATTAGATGGTGGAAAAAGTGATGGAAGGGCTGGGATATTGCGAGAAGTTGAGGTGGGAAGCAGACGTGAGGTACACGGATTTCTTGCTGCGGGTGAAGAAGTCGGAGAAAGAGGCTCGGGCGAATGGGATGTGGGATGCGCCTCACCCCTGGCTCAACCTCTTTGTCTCCCAATCCGACATGGCTCGCTTCGACCGGCTCGTGTTCAAGAAGCTTTTGAAGGATGGGGTCGGCGGCCCAATGCTCGTCTATCCTTTGCTACGCTCCAAGTAAGTACCTACCTTAAAGCTACTCATCACTCGTGAATCTCATGATGATGCAATGCCTATTTTCTTTCTTTTCTTTCCAAAAACAATAATCGTTGATGACATACATTAATATTTAGTACTCCCTTCGTCTCATATAATTGTCTCATTTTTTCATTTTTAGATGTTTCTCTATTATTATCTCATATCATATTTGATAACATTTGTATGATTCTAATTCATTCTTACTTTATTTTCTTTTTATCAACTCATTATCAATCAAATGATTCTACTTTTCTTAGTTATCGCATCACTCCCTTCCGTCCTAATATTAGGAGGATGGATGGAGTACTATTTTATTACTTTCATCCCATTAACATTAGGAAATGATGAGGTGATACTATTATTAAGAAAAATAGATTTAAATGATTCATAGTTAATTCGTTCTTTTTAATTGTAACGGACTAACGATCTTCTTTTCACGTTTGTCAATGCACAAATTTGATCATTAATATCTGTCATTCCTTGTTATTAAAAAAAAATTGATGTTGAAAATTTAAAATGAGAGAAATTTAACTATTTTTTTAAAATATAATTTTTAATACATTAATAAATAAAGGGAAAAGAGTCAAATAAGACCTTATACTATTACGAAATCGTCACATAGGCCATGTACTAAATAAAGTATCATATAAATACGTCTACTTATAAAAAGCGGCCGGATTATTCCTAACGACCTTTTGACAACCTTGTAATCCCGGTTTTAGCGTGTTTCTGACTATATTTTAAAATAGATTATATGGTTGGCGTGGAATATTTAGCTAGGATGGGCTTACATGCAAGGCAAAAATAGCGACACGTAAGCTAAAATCGGATTAGGAGGTTGTCAATGGGTCGTTATGACTCACTTGATTGCTTTTTATAAGTAGATGTATTTATATGACACTTTATTGAGTACATGCCCTTATGTAATGATTCCGTAATAGTAGAGGACCTTATTTGACCCTTTTCCCATAAATAAAATAGAGTCAAGTAAAACATGTGAATAGTGCAAAAAGTCAATGTAGCATTTAAATTAACAAATAAAAAATGATATAAAGTCATACAAAATTTATTAAATTTGAATTTTATCAAATTTGAATTCCCTCTGTTTCTTAAAACTTGGTCAAGTTTGACCGACATGAAAATTAATAAAATAAAAGATGTGTGACAAAGTTTGTGCAAAAGAGAGAAAACTAATCAGAATCACAAAGTTTTTACTTAATTGAAAAAGTGACAAAATTAATAGCACAATTAAAAAAGAAAAATTTTAAGGAAGAAAGGGAGTATAAGCCTATTTTAATGGAGAGAAAAAAAGATACGAATGTTGTTTTCGGACAACAAAATGGCCCCACAAGATCTGACGGTTGGAGATGTCATTGCATCATCAACCCGTGCGTTTGCCACCGCAACCCACGGCCCACACTATCGTTTGTTTCCGTTCTTGGGCCATATTTTGGTGATGGCAGTGTATGTAGCGTATACCTACTTTCTCGATGGACAAAGATACGGTGGACCCTACAACCATGACCTCTCCGTGATTGGACCTAACATTCATTTGATTGGACCACATCACTTTATCAATTTTAATTTAGATTTAAATAATTCAACTGTTACCTATTCATTGATCCATGTGGACAAATGTATAGTACCTTATGGGTACCATAGAAACTACTCTCCTCGTTTTACCCCGTCACCTATATCTTCAATTTTGCTTGTCTTTATTTAAGGTGTGTTTGGAGTTGCTTAAAATAAGCATTTTTTAGTTTTTAACTTAAAAAAAGTTAAAAAAGGTTTTTGTCAAACCCTGATTTAAAAAAGCACTTTAAAGTCATAAATTAGAAGCTACCAGGTTGCTGCTTCTAACTGCTTTTATCAACATCTTGGTATTTTTGTAAATACTTTAAACCTTATGTATAATTATTGTGTTAGATATTTCACTTAAACCCAGACTACCCTCCCCTCCCCTCATCCGGTGTTGATCCCAGACCTTACTGCCTCATGGAGCAGCCATGGCAAAAATCATATTCCGGACCAGTTAACTTGCAAAAATCATTTGACGACCTTCCCGATTGATTTTTTTTCTGAAATTTGGTATGGATGAACTAGACTTGATGAGGAACATACACAAAAAATTTGAGCAAAAAATACCACCGGGAAGGCCCCCAAATAGAGGAGGCCGGACGGGGCTCCTGTCCGGAATTTCTGGACAGGAATAATCCTGTATAATATATATATATATATATATATATACATATAAAATATATGTATATATATAATAATAAAATATAATGCGGAGTATATGACAAATTGTCCCAGTTGCTCACCTCATCGATCTCTGCATCTCTTCTATTTCGTGAACCCAAACCAGCTCTCCAATCTCCAACAATATTGTAGAATTTAAAGAACTCTACTTCCAAATTTAGTTTTTTTTTTGTTTAATTTTCGGACTTCTTCTTTGGGAGCTGTTTTCTTGTTCGTAGACCTGCTCAGATGGATTGGACGAGAAAGAGAAGGGTGTTCTTGTATTTTGACTATATACTACATCAGTAATCACTTTTTTATCAAACATCTCAACTTTTTACCATTTAATTAAAATCACTTCTATTTACAAACACTACCAACTTTTACTTTTAATCACTTTATCCAAAATCACTTTAAAAACTCATTTTTTTAAAATTGAAGCAATCGCAAACACTCCCTTAGTATGAGAGTCTTTGAAACTACTTAAAAAGAGCATTTCTCGCCTTTTGGTTTAAAAAACACTTATTTTATCAAACACTACCAACTTTTACTTTTCTCGGCTTTCGTGTGAAAAACGTTTTTTACTTTTTCTATTATACAAAAAGCACTTACTTTACCAAACATTACTAACTTTTACTTTTCAAAATTATTTTTTTCTCAAACACTATCAACTTTTACTACTAATCACTTTTTCCATAATCACTTCAAAAGTGGTTTTTTTAAGCATATGCAGTGGCAAACACTCTCTAAGTTTACCAAATTAGGGCTCAATTAGGCCCTCGACGGAATCTTGTTTTTGGGGACTCAATTGTTTGGAAAGTCCATTTAGGAAGTTAAATTAGGAATTTAATTTTGACCTTTGTATGGCCTTAATATAACCCTTAAATTGTTGTATTTGTTGATTAGAAGTATATTTTAACAATTAAAAATTTTAAGTTTCACATTTTAGATATACTTGATTATTAAATTTTATAAGTAACTTAAAATATGTATACATTATTTAACTATTATGTACTATTTCTGTATCATAATGTAAATATGTATACGTAGTTTAAGATAATTTATTACTACGTATTAGTTTACTGTACATTTTTTAAAAAAAGGTAGGAGATTTTTTATACAGTAACAGGCTAACAGCACCGTTTACTTTACAGGGTGAATTTCTTTCCAATGCAAAAATTAAAATGCATAGATTAACATTTATTTTGATACGACTCAAAAAAGAATACATGACATTTATCGTGATGCAAGAGACTATAAGTGCACAAGTGACCCAAAGTATTTTAGATGTGTTAAGAGTACACTCCGGAACAAGTCAATCAACTAAATAAAATACTTAGCTACATACACTTTCTTTTTTGGGAAAAGGTGCAAATAAGCTCATGTACTAACAAAAAAAGGTCAAATAAACCCTTATTTAGGAGGCTCTGTCCGGCCGTCGCCATTTGGAGTGGTTCCCGGTGGAATTTTTTGATGAAATTTTTGAGCATCTTATTCATGAAGTCTAGTTTACTCATACCAAATTTCAGCTAAAAATTCAATCGGGAAGGCATTCAAATGAATTCTTGAAAATAACTGCGCAGTTAGAAGCGCAGTTATTTTCAAGAATTCATTTGAATGTCTTCCCGATTGAAGTTTTAGCTGAAATTTGGTATGAGTAAACTAGACTTGATGAATAAGATGCTCAAAAAATTTCATCAAAAAATTCCACCGGAAACCACCCCAAATGACGATGGCCGGACAGAGCCTCCTAAATAAGGGCTTATTTGACCTTTTTTGGTTAGTACATGGGCCTATTTGCACCTTTTCCCTTCTTTTTTTTTGTATTTCATACTGGTGTACTACGGTTCATATCATTTCTATTTTTTTCCTCTTTGAATAAAATAATTGAAAATAGGTGCAGTCCCTAAAACCAAAGAAACAAAAGTCCAGTCCCTAAAATAAAATGGTTATTTAAATATTGTTAACTGCTTTCTTATGAAAGATGTTTTGGATCCGAACTTTGCAAAATTTCATGAAGGTTAGATTACATGGTACGTCCTGGCATCAACGCTAACCTTCATGGCTGTTGGATCCTAACATTTTACCACGTATAATACTTTTTTTTTTGGATAATACCTATACTTTGAATTTTAGTTACTTACAAAGTCATATTTGGGGATTTGGCTTTGTACCCAAAAATGAGTAAATTGAATAGTGCATCATTTTTTTTGGGTGATATTGGACTTTACATCCTAATTCATTCACTATATCTCTGGATTGAGGGATGCATACATAAAAAATGGAGTGTGAGATCAAACTACCCCTCTATTCTAATACTCCGTAGTAAATGCACCAATTATAATGTTTTTTTCTTATAATGTTGTTCTCTTATACTCCGTAAAATACTTCAAATAAGAGGCATTTCTGATAACTAACTTCAAGTAATGGAAAATTTCATAATAAGATCTATGCAGGGACGGATCCAAGGGGGGCGCGGGGGCGACCGCCCCCCTTGGACTTCCATTTTTTTCTACTATATATGTAATATTTTCATAAGATTTTCATACATTAGTTAGATATATATGTTTTCGCCCCCCTTAACTTTTAGTTTTCAAAATTAATATATAGGCTCACATAATGTAATAGTTAATTGGTGATTTAAAAGAAGTAGAATCTAAAATAATTTACATAACTTAAACAAATAAACAATAGAACTCATTGTTTAAGACTTAGGATACCTAAAAATTCTTAGTTTTGTAATGTTTAATTATCTTTATTAGATAATTAGTATTCGAACGATATTGAATTTGAGATATCAAACGATATTTCTTAGTTTTGTAAGATATCAAACGATATTGAATTTGAGATACAGTAGTTAAATAGTATAAATGTTTGTTGACATTAGATTACACTCTTCATTTACCTCTTACTTTCTAAAAACAATTTGTTGAGTAGATAATACTTTTTAACTTATTTTAGCATTAATACACATATGATATGCACCATATATATGAATTAACATTACTACGTATTATAGTATTCTAAGTATAATAATCTTATACATACTATTGTAATATTAAGAAAACTCATCGTGACCCACAAATACCTTCCTTGTTAGATAGAAATCTCAATTCAAAAACCAATTCTTTATTCTGTTAAGGTTCATGTGGTTAAACAAGATATATATAAGTTATTTAAAAAGCATTGATTGATGTGTACCTTTAATTTTAACCTCATTACCTTCAAATAATATCATAAAATGTTATATATCCTTTCTTATTTTCAAATAATTTTCCTTTAATTTGTGATTTGTTAAGCTTTAATGTATCAATACGTTTTTCTAGAGCACTTATAGTTATTAAATCAAAGTTATCTTTTAATTGTCTAAAATTAGAATTGGAATATAATAATAGATATAAATGTCAATATGTCATCGTGTATTTAGTATGTACTAATGGAACTCTTTGAATAAAAATTAGCCGCAGAGCCCTACACTAGCAAAAAAATTTCGCCCCGCTACACTAACGAATTTTTTCCTATCCCGCTTGGCCGCTTAACAGCGAAATTTTTTTCACTCCTTACACTAATGAAAAAAATTCGCCCCCTTGACTCGAAATCCTGGATCCGTCCCTGTATCTATGCATATTACTATTGTTCTAACTTCTTACAATTTTCTTTATTTCTTCCTTGAAAAAGACTAAATAACCATTATAAGAATTTTGTTTACTATTCATTCTTCTTCACGATTACTATTCTCTATTTGTAGACATAAGTAGTCAATCCATCGGTGCTTTGCACGGCCAGATTCGCACAAAATGTAATTCATTTGATTAATAATGATTTTTAGTATATTACGAAATTGAAAATATAGAAAATCCAGAAATGAAATAATTCATAATCAACACATAAGGTAAGGACACGTATAGTATTTATTTGTTCTTTTTTCTATTACTAGGCCTCTCAGTGCTCTATTCTAGAAAATTCAAACATAGAGTATATATTAGACTCGTTGCTTTAGTGTACAATACTTAAAATGATATATAGATATATATTTTATTTGAATTTATGTATTTGTGTGTAAAAATCATATCCAAACTTTTCAAATTTATTCCGGAGTATTCAAATTTATTAGGGTCAAATCATTCCTTAGATTCACTTTTTTATAGATGTGGAGTACTGCCATTATTTTCCTCCTTAAAGTCCGAATCTTTACCCCATTGCCCTTTGTCATCATCATCTCCATTGAAAAAGTCAAAAATTGTGTCCCCACAATCATTTTATATTTTTGGAAAATTTGAAAATAATAATCCAAACTATTGTCAGTCCGCTGAAAATAATCCCAACTATTGATTATTTTTGTATAATCCCAACTATATAGATTATCCGCCAATTATGATCTATTACCAGATATTACCTCTATAAAAAGTGAATTTTAAATAGAAATTAAGCGTAAAAATTAAAAGTTGAGATTATTTATAGGGATTACTTGTTATATCTCATCTCATCCACTTTAGAAACTACAAGAAATTATTCATAGGGACCATTATTGGCGGAAGGTCCCTAAAGTTGGGATTATTCTGGAATAATCAATAGTTGGGATTATTATAAGCGGACCGCCAATAGTTGGGATTATTACTATCAATTTTTCCTATGTTTTTTGTACTCCCTAGTTGCCTGTGTACATTAAATAATTCGTTAAAAAACTCAAACGGGAAAAGATATCAATCCAAGATAGAAAATAAAGTTCGTGAAATTACATCAAAGAATGTATGGGTGTTTAGAACTGGTGTATACACGCCTGACGTGTACACGAAGAACTACTCACAAAAAATCAAATAACACGATTCTCAACATTACAAACTGAACATTGTGTGATTCATTTCGCTCTTGCAAAACTACAATATTAGGAATATTGAAAATGACCACAGTATACTTCACACTCCGTATTTATTTACATAATACGGAGTAGTCCTAACTAGTTTTCCTTAACTACTTTTTAGCAAAAATTAAAAAGTGAGTGGGTAATTACGACATACGCATAATGTGATTATTTATACTTTATACACATAAATTTTTATGAAACCTTTGAATTACATATATAAAAGGGAGGGTTGAATTGTGTGTTATAAATTATACTAGTAATAATTTTTACCCTTTTTAGTACAGTTCTGATGTTAAAGGTAGAAAATAAATGCATAAACATTTAATGAGGATAATTCTTTGGTTCAAAAGCGATTAAAAAACAACTAAGCTCTCTAGGAGGCTAATACTTAAAAGCTTTTCACTAGATTTTTTTTTTGTGAAAAACAATTACTCCGTACAAGATAGACTCCATAATATAGAGCCCGTTTGAAGAACTCTGTTTTCGGCTTATCAGGCTTATCAGCCAGCTTTTTCACCAAACACGTAACTTTTACTTTCGCGCGCTGAATTGTGTAATAAGCCGAAAAAGTAAGGTTGGAGTTACTTTTCTGGCTGTATTGGCTGAAGTTACTGTAGAGGACCATTTTAGCTATTTTTACATATAATTTTTTCTTTAATTTATTAATAAAATATATTTTTAAAATATTTTTTTCTTAAATCAGCAGAATCAGCCAAAACAGCCACTCCAGCCAGAATATCATAAATTTCAGCAGAATCAGCCAAAACAGCCGATTTTGGTGCTACCAAACGGGCTCATAGTATACTTTGAGCCACCTCATTCAGACCTTTTTAGGTAGAATTTCACAACTTTATTTTGTAAACAAGATGTTTCTCGACATTATCACAAAGTCTTCACCACTCTCCAACTGAGTGGAGAATGCATGTTAACAAATGCTTCTTGACCAATAAAAAAGAACACTCGAAATTTGGTAACCCAGTTCGACACAAAGGACTACGTCTAGGCGCGCTACCAAACCAGGATATTACTATTATTTTCTGTTGATGATTACAAGGAGAGAGCTTGTATTTATAGACAGTAAACCCTAACCCCAATACTAATAGGACGCGCGGGCAAACCAGTACAAAACTCGCGGCCCATATACAAAAGGACCCAAAAAATTTCGGGTTACCGCCCCCAACCCCCGTCCAACTCCTCGTCGAGTAGGATCGACGGAATGGGCTTGGTTACAGTCTCTAACACCTTAAAATATGAATATGATGGAACTACGATAAGAACAAGAATAGGAACTGGTGCATAAATGTTCTTCAATAAATAGCATGTGTATTTATAGTGTCGCCTTCACGGGAAAAGAGTTGCTCAATAATATGGCACATAACACGTACCATTTCCCTTTAAAGAAGTTTACTCAAATTAGTTTTGCATTTTAGAAAATGCTTGCTAATAAAAGTATTTGCTCATTAATATGGAACATAGATTTATTCTTTTAAAAGGATATGTCATAAAAATTATTATTGCCATTATGAAACCGATCATAACTTTCACTTGAAACATTCATATACTTGTATTCTTTTGTTTTGAAGACCTGTATTACGAAAAAGATCTAGAAAATGTTTCATTTTATTAGACAGATGCATATCTATTCGTTTTTAAGAACCTTTTTATTTTGGAGACTTAGACACATAGTCTTAGGATGTTTTCTTTTGGACTGTTTTCAGTCCCAGACCAGACTTAAACAGACCAGATCAGACCATCAAATTTCAGTCCAAAAGAAAACATCCTGTCATTTTAAATTTTGAAAAGTTCTTTTACTACCAAAAATTGCTTTGTGAGAAAGATCTTTCATTTAGCAAATTTATTCTCTCATAAGTAGTGTAGTTCGTTGAACCAAACATGATGATGATGATGCTTAATTAGATTTCCTAATAATTTAATTTGATTCAACTACTACTAGATGGGATAGCCGGACTTCGGTGGTACTGCCAGAGGGGGAAATCTTCTATCTGGTGGCACTTCTCCGGTTCATCACTCCAGGCCCGCCGGTTCAGCAGTTGCTGGCCCAGAACCAAGAAATCATCCAGTGCTGCACAAGAAATGGGGTGGATTTCAAGCTATACCTTCCTCACTACAACACCGAGGACGAATGGAGACATCATTTCGGGAGTCAATGGTCAAGGTTCGTCCACAGAAAGTCCACTTTTGATCCGATGGCCATTCTTGCTCCTGGACACAAAATCTTCACCCGGAGCAAACCATAGCTAGCTAGCTACTCCTTACCCACACTTTCCCTCCTTTGCTTTGATGGTTTTCGATGCTCATTTTTGCTGTATCTCACTTGTTCCCATGTGAAGAAATGTAAAACGGGTTTAAAGAAGATTGACTACTATACTCTGAGGTATTGATTTTGTTATTTCTCTTTGTAGATTATTTAAATTAAATTCCAAGTAATTATTCCCTTGGGTGCAGGGCAAAGCCAATGAGGTCCAGGATAATCAACTGACTCCCTAAACATCGATCATGTATAACACACTAAATTATTTTGGATTTCATGTGTTCTCACAGTTATAACAACTTATTATTGCTAGTAAAAGGTTATGAATTCTACAAAATCACCACGATTTAAACGTTAAATGAGTAAAATTTGATGCGCAATATGGAATGTTTATTTGATGCGCACTATGAAGTCTATTAAAGCGCTAGCTCAATGCATTTAAAGAGAAAAAGTCTTCAACAATGATAAAAATGTAAAATATACGGAATCTAGATCTGAAAATTAATGTGAGGTAGTTAGAGATGGTATAAAATATTACAAGTAGGGTATTTATACATTTTTTTAAACCCCCCTACTTTTGAGCAAAACATACCACTCAAGGGAGTAATGATTTAGGTAAGCTGCTATCGAAGTTGTTGCTGGAGTGAATGGATGTGAGAATAGAGACGAGTAATGGCTTGGAGAACACTAGCTCTCTTGCAAATTAATTTCCATTTTTCTTTACCCAATGAGAAGGGTGGAGTACACCATGACCACTCAACCTTCGTTTAGGAAGGGTGTAGGAAAGTTGATACTACTAGTCGCAGATAGAGGTAAAGTCGAGGACTCGAGGGTGAATAAAATATAATTTTTCAACCTTAATGAAATTTACCCCCCCCCCCCCCCCCCGATCACTTGAGAAAATCTTGGTCTAATAGTAGAAAGATTGACCGATTTAGATTAGACACAAATGTTGGCGAGTCTTTTAAAGTATAAACGTGTTAAATTTTACTCCAAAAAAAGGTGTTAAATTTTACTTAGACATTTGGATGGGTACTGGGTGACGAGAAGGATGCTGAAAACATAGAGTGCGGGAGAGAATATTGAACAGTCATGTTCCTTAAATAGGAGTTATGTTTTAGATACTAAGAGACCCGAGTTATGTTTTTTAAGATTTAGTACAATGTTAGTTTTTAAGGAGTCAATCTCGTACGTAAGAACTCCATGTAAAGCATGATCGCACGAAAGTAGTCTTGAGATGGGTGACCCCTCCTGGAAGTTTGTTACAGTATTATCCTACTATGAAGACAGTATTGAGTTTGGGTGGCATTCATGGGTAACTATCAAGAGTTGTACGGGGCGGGTGTTACACCATGAGCTAGGAGAAGTAAAACTTTAAATCTTTTTAAAACAGATGGAGTATAATTTAAAATATCTTTGTGATCCACGGGTGAAAATATAGTTAGATTGCACAAACTAACTAACAAAAAATAAGGGTATTTAATAATGCATATATAGGTCCATTAAAAAAAAGTGTTGTTTTTAGTCCATTACCAAAAGCATGCAAAAAACAGGTGACTTTAATAAGGTACATGATTTCAATTGCACAAACAAAATAACCATTCAAATAAGGCTAAACTTTAAACTTCAAAACAAAAGCAAGAAGAAGTAGGAGAATGAGGATGCCAGTTGAAGAGCCACCCACCCTGTAAATCCAATATGGATCAAACCTGGTAAAGCTTCTGTCGAAGTACCCAGACAATGCGATGGCAATCATAAGACTCGCCAATAGAAAAGGCTGCACAAAGGAAGAAGAAGAAGAAGAGAAAGCGGAACCCGGCTGCTGATCCTCATAAACCGGTTCCTCGTCCTTGTCGATGTAAAGCGGAGAGAGCACCGCGAGAAGTGTGAGTCCTATGGCAACTGGCTTCTTATAGAACGACAATCTGATCACGCCACGTTTCACCATCACGCTAGCCGCAGCACTGATCAAGATGAGAAGTAGTGGTAGGTATAAAGCAGAGATTATGGTTTCATCATCATCAGCAGCATTTGCTTGGCCTGTCTTTCTTTTCCTCTTTCTGTCAATGTAAAGAGGTGAGGCTACTGCAGCAAGGCCAATTGCTATGGCTAAAAGCCTGTGTTGATTAGTTTGCCTCCTCCCTATTGCTTCCTGCCTTTTCTCAACCATTTTATTTTATATATAGACACACACACACCAACCCACTGTGTAATTAATGAGCACTCTAGCTTCTAAAATCCTGACACTAAATTAGCCCGTGGTTGCATATATAATGGGAAGGCTTCCAAATTAAATGGTATTCTAAAAGGAAAAATTCTATGATTCCTTCGAGCCTTCGAGGTATCAAAGCTTGTTCACATAAATCAGTTATTATTTTTTGCAATTGAATAATTAAACATACAAAATAATGAAATGATGACATTGTCAATCAAATAAATGATAGGCACACTACCTTGATTTTTTTGTTTGTGAATATCATACGAGTAGCATTCACCTTTTAAAAAACCTGAATATATATGAAACAAGAAATAGTTTAAGACATTATATCTTTAGCTTTAATTTTCCCTAATTGAAGTTCACACTTCGGTTTATTGTAATATTTGGACATTAGTAGGCTCATTTTATCTCTATCAATAGTATGCAATTAATTATTCATTTTCTCTACCACACTTTATGTCTAGACGTACTTGGAAAGCCAACATAAAAATTTAATTTACGAGATAGGTAGATAGATTTGTATTTTTTTTTGTGTGTGACAATATCTTTCCTGCCACGCGTGCACCGTCGAGACATTTGCATTGAAAATGCTCATAATAAAAGTTACATTTATGTTTATTCTTAATAGCTAGACACATGTTGCCAAATATACCTTCACTTTGTAATCTCCACCTCTTCAGGGCATAGCTAGGGACTTTACTAGACCCCACACCATTCAAATTTAAAGTGTTTATATTTTATGTGTTAAAAATTGTGTAAATAATTAAGGGTTATTTAAATTCTTTGGGCCTGTTTGGTAATAGTTGTAACAACTGAAATTACTGAAACTAGAAAGTGAGAGTGTTTGTATTATTACACCATATTAAATACGTGTATAATAAGTGGTGTACAATATTACGTATTCTATTTGTTGAAGGGCCCAGGCTTAATCTAATACTACATCCATCCCGGAAACAAGTTCCCGAGTTGACTTTCCCCTTTTTTTGGAAATAAATTTATTGAGGGGTAAATTTTACAATTTCGACACGGTTTCGACATTGTTTGGCACTGTTTTGCACTGTTTTGATGTAGATAATTTGCCAAATAAGGAAATGAGAAGTTTATTTTGGAACATCCAAATAAGAAAAGTGAGAACTTGTTTCCGGGACGGAGGGAGTACATACTCCTGACTATATTATTTATACGCATGAATCGATGATGAGGATAGAGTGAAAACACAAATGTGGGTTTTAAGAGGTGATAAAAAGCAAGGATAAAAATTTCTTTTGATAGATTTCATCCGAAAAAGTAAGAGATAATGAAAAGTGAAAACCATCTAAATCAATCAATTTCATAATTGTTTGATTATATTTATAGACTAGCTTTCAAGCCCGTGCGGTGCACGGGCAGTATATAATTTAACTAATTTGAAATTTGATTTCTTTCTGATATATGTAATGTGATTTAAAAGAAAAATAAATTTAGTCTAATATAGAGCCTGTTTGATAATAATAATAAATTAAATCGAATTAACTTATTTTACTGAAATTGATTAAATTCTGGCTGAATGGGCTGAATGGGTAGAATCTCCTGAATCATGGAAAAAAAAATTAAAATATATTCTATTTGTGAAGCCAAAAAAGATTATATGAAAAATAGTCAAATGGATCTTCTACATAAGAATCTCAAGTAAATATAATTGTTATGAACCCGATTTTAAAGAATTTATAATCTCACGTCCTCTAAATTACTTTATTATGCACCTCAAGTTTTTTTCTTCTACTATTCTTCATTCAACTTGATGTGAAATACTGAGTACATACTTTTAACTTTTAATAATAAGATGTTACATTTAACTCATTCGTTTTTAGATTCTATATTAGAATATCTAATAGTTTTAATTCCGTTTTTAAATTTCAATTCTATGGTGGTTACAATTTTTATCATTATTTTAATAATTAAGAAAGAATTGTATGATGATGGAGAAAATGCGAGGTATTAACACAATTGCAAATTCGGGGCTTAGAATTTTAATCATTCTCTTTCGAAAAAATAATTTTAATCATTATCTCAACATTGAGTTTAGAAAAATAAAATATTACATTTTAGGAAATATGACACTTATTACATTTTTTATTTTTGTCAAATTACTTTGAAGACAAAAATAATAGCAATTTGGCTGATTTATCTGTTAAGTGGGCAAAAAACGAATACTTCATCTCTTTAATAGAATGTAATAAAAATTAAACAAGTATAAAAATAATTAAATAATTGTTACTCTGTGAGTCCGTGCTTAAAATTTAGTTATTAATTGTTGTGGTTCTAATTACAGAATTTATTATTTATCAAATACGTAATGAGTTTTGAAAAAGTTACCAAATTAATTAAGGTGAATTTCTATGGATTTTTGTTTCCATATCAACATGCAATCAAAAATAGAATTTAGCTAATAAAAATAGAAGGTATAAAAATAAGTAAATAATTAATATATATATAATGACATGCCACAACTATGTGACGCTTTGTATTCTCTTAAAAAGTTCTTTTATATATATATAGAAGGTAATAAATAGAATCTAGCTAATATATAGAAGTTCCTCTTTTAAAAATAGAATCTAGCTAATAAAAATAGAAGGTATAAAAATAATTAAATAATGAATATATAATGACATGGCACGATTATGTGACGCTTTGTATGCTCTTAAAAAGTTCCTCTTTTATATATATATTGATTTTGTGACTAAAAAACTACTCCGTAATTTTTACTCCTCCAAACAGGCTCTTTATACGACCCACTCTAAAAAAAATCTGGCTATGCCACCAATAGTACAGAAATATGCTTATGGATAGAAAAAGTTACTTTAATGAAGAACCCACATTAAAAAGAAAGATTATATTCTTTGAAGAAGATAAGGAATGGCAATGTAAGCATCAATTTATCAAACATGAGAGGAGAATCATGACTTCTCCAAAAAGCCATAACTAATCTTTACTGGTGTTGTGTAGAATCTGATTCTGATTCCGGGAAGCAATTCAAGTGGCTCTAAGGCTCTGTTTGCAATCACTTAAAATAAGTGATTGTGGCTTTTTTTTAAGAAAAAAACACTTATTTTATCAAACACAATCAACTTTTACTTTCTCGGTTTTCGTGTAGAATCTACTTTTTACTTAATCGAAGGAGTATTACACAAAAAGCACTTATTTTACCAAACACTACCAACTTTTACTACTAATCACTTTTTTCCAAAAAGTACTTTTATTTAACCACAAGTGATTGCAAACAGAGCCTAAGCAGCACGTCTTGATTGATTCCCGGGCTCCAGCCTAGGTAGCCCATACCCATGAATCCTGATGATTCGGGCCCAAATCTAAATTTAGTTAATAAAAAATGTGGTTTTAACGAAATATAACAATTATACTCCGTGAATAAATGTTATACAAAATATAATGTTCTATATTTTAGAATATTATTATTTTTTATATATTGAGTAATGATTTTTGTTCGAAGAAATACTACTTTGTGAGTCCCATTAGACTTTGTCAACTTTTATTTTCTATCTGTTCCAAAAACTTCATCATTTTCTCTTTAAAATTAAAAGAATTATATTATGTGTATTTCTCTCTCATCTGTATAACTCTCAACCATACATATTTTGTCTTTTTAGCAAAAGACAACTTAATTAATATTGATAAGAGTTACAAGAAACAAAGTCATAATGCTAGAGGCTACTCTGTGTGAGACACAGAGCCTGATAATCGCTTAGTAGCGATCCGACTGACTAACCTCTCAACAATGTAGATAGACTATATCAACATCATAGTTGCACTGCTATTAAAAGAAGAATTAAAAATTAAGAACCCCCTGCTACTAAAAGAAGAAAAATAGCAAAGAGAACAAGCACACTTTTGCTAGCTCTGGGGAAGGAACCTGCGGTTTGACCAGCCCCCACCAAAGGTACTGGGATATGCCCTCTCCACCATGTCCAACTCCTTCCAGAAAGCACCGCCTCTTGCAAGTTTTTTGGGTCCTCGTCATCCACTTTCATTCCTGCTTGAATGCCTTCACCACTGATCAGTTCTATCACTCTGCGCTATCACCATGTAACTGCATGTTTCTTCCGAGGTAGTCCTGATCGAATTGCTCAAGCTGTTTGATTCCTCTTGTTTTACGCTTGTTCTGCTTCCATTGGGGATCAACAACTTATTCCCTGGATTCACACCCTCTCTTCTCATAACTTCTCTCCAATCCAAGGTCCAATGTGAGTATTAGATGGACATCTCATATGGGAAATTCGCATGTCCTAAGATCTCGCATAAAAAATAGAAGTTTGGGAGCATCTCATATGGGAAATTCGCCCATAGCTAATAGTCATTTTCTTGTCCGGCCTTCAATCTTCTCATCATAGATAGCATTATTAATATTTATTTTCACTCTCATTCGTAGTATTGACCTCCGATTTCTCCCAAGTGTTCACTCATCAATCAGGGAAGATTGTGAACATGAACCCAAAAATCTGCAAGATCTAAAGGCACCTCAAGAGGGGGTTTATCAGTCCGCCCTAACCGTCATATAACCATTAGATTTTGTTCAAAAGAATCTGGCCCCTCTTGGACAACACAGCTAATACCCCCCCTCGTGGTAAAACTAAAGCAGAAACTTGGAATTGCCAATCTCCTCAATGGTAACTCCTTTAATCGGCATCCATAACATTGTCATGGTTTTGTGGAATGAGATTGAGCGGATAGGTTTGTCCCTTACCACCTATGCCACCGCTGAAACACAACCCCACATCAACCTCGCCATTGCATCCCAGCGTTTCTGATTCAAGAACCAACCCCCTATTCTCCTCTTCTTCAATTGTTATTTGACTCGAATTATCAACCAGGTTATCCATAGGTAAATCAAACAAAACTCATAGAAAGTTTATGCTCTAAACAAATTGAAAAGAAGACTAAACAACAAGCCCTCACACGGAACACACACAACACTCGACAAACTGAAATGTTGGACCCGAATAAAAGCTAATCTCCAAAACAAAACAAAGGGGGGAACCAATAAACGAAAGGGGAGACGAAACTTCTACAAGCCTCTCAATGAAGCCAAGTATCAATGACTTTGGTCTTCTTCCTCGACCCGATATTCTGTTCAAGACTTTCGATCTACTCCGCCGTCAACTGTTGCGATCCTCCAGAGTCGGCCGCTGCATCATTGCGCTAGGGTTTTTCTCCTTGCCAACTAGATTTTTTTTTCAAATATTTTTATGAGTATCCTAAAGCATATTGAATCCTCATGGGTCTCAATGTCCAATGGAACAAAGATAATAGTTTTTAGGTATAAATGAGAATCATTTTTTATATTGATTTTAACATATATGGATGAACCATATCAAAACACTTGTACGTAAAAAATGTTGGGGAACTATTAAACATTTCAAGAACTCAACATTTCAAGAAATCCTAGATGTCATTATAGATCGGGTACTCAAGCGAAGGCGGCATAACTTAAACCTTGCCCTTGTTGCCACCGATCAAAAAAGTAACCGCCACAATTGCATCTGTTACCCCGATCTAAAAGTTGTTGCCTCAACTAGACAATAAATTCATTGTCAATGAGGGCTTCATCATCATCGATGGTTGCACAATATTTGAAGGATTCATCATTGCAGATTGACTCATTAAATTACCACCAGAGTTGATCAGTCAACAAAGAGAGCGACAATGTAGGGGACTGTCCGACGATGTTGAAGAAGATAGCAGTGATTATCAATGACTGTGTGGATATGATCTTTGGTTCGAAGGAGGATGTAGGTTGTGACTTGTGTGGCAATGACACATAAGAAGACGAGAGATGGGATCAAGGGCATATGTAATTTGATCTTGATATTTGAGGGCATTTGAGACATTGAATATCACTTTTAGTTGCTTATTTGTCCTAAATAAAACTATAAAAGTTGGTTTTGGTTTTGTCAAAGAAAAAGATAAGTCTCATTTTTGTCATTTTTTCATGTTTTAGTTGTATCCAGTATACTTGCAGGTTTCCAACATAGGAAAAACACAACATGCATCTACGTGGATGGCTACTACAATAAGGTTCAGTTCATCATGAATTACTAAATAGATGGCCATGATCTTGATTTCTAAACTCCAAATCGCACCACAGCGAGGTTACGAAACCCTAACTGACTATTTCTTAACCACTAAAATGGCTCAGTCTAGTACTCTAGTAGATATACTTTCTGATTTTTTTACAAAATAGAAAATCAGGGTTTGAAACAGGAGCAAAACTGAAAACCAGGTCTAAAACAATCAGTCCTAACAGAACAGGAACTGGTAGGCTGTAACTGGTTCCGATTAAGGCTCTAGTTATTGGAGGACCTGAGATGGAATAACTTATCCACTCCCACTAACTACACCATTATTGAAAAAGTAACATGTTAATGGAAACAACAAACAATTCTGATCCAAACAGGGCATGGGCAAATTTACACAGCCCTATATGACTCTGTTGTGGAGTCACCGTTATGGAGTCATATAGGGTACAATGACATCATTACAACCATTCATCTAGGACCCCCCCCCCCCCAAAAAAAAAGTTAATGATGATGCCACATTACTCTTTGAAAAAACATGTCATTTTTTCATGTTTTAGTTGTATCCAGTATACTTGCAGGTTTCCAACATAGGAAAAACACAACATGCATCTACGTGGATGGCTACTACAATAAGGTTCAGTTCATCATGAATTACTAAATAGATGGCCATGATCTTGATTTCTAAACTCCAAATCGCACCACAGCGAGGTTACGAAACCCTAACTGACTATTTCTTAACCACTAAAATGGCTCAGTCTAGTACTCTAGTAGATATACTTTCTGATTTTTTTACAAAATAGAAAATCAGGGTTTGAAACAGGAGCAAAACTGAAAACCAGGTCTAAAACAATCAGTCCTAACAGAACAGGAACTGGTAGGCTGTAACTGGTTCCGATTAAGGCTCTAGTTATTGGAGGACCTGAGATGGAATAACTTATCCACTCCCACTAACTACACCATTATTGAAAAAGTAACATGTTAATGGAAACAACAAACAATTCTGATCCAAACAGGGCATGGGCAAATTTACACAGCCCTATATGACTCTGTTGTGGAGTCACCGTTATGGAGTCATATAGGGTACAATGACATCATTACAACCATTCATCTAGGACCCCCCCCCCCCCCCCCCCAAAAAAAAAAGTTAATGATGATGCCACATTACTCTTTGAAATTTTTGTGGTGATGCCATATTATGTTTTGCCGCCATCATCCCCCCCTACCCCTCTCCAACTGGTTTCCACCACCAGCAAGTCGTCGAAACCATTTCTCTTGTGATGTGGTGGTAAGATGAGGAGAAGGCTCCATTGTACAAGTGGTTGGAACAGCATTCCGATAAACTCCTTTAGGCGGTGAGAGCTCAGCTGGAAGGGCAGCGGCGGCATTCGTAAAGGCATTCAACACAAGAAACGCCATTACCGGTGAAAGATCCAGGGTCCCACCAAGTGGCGGGATGATTCCACGGAATATGTTCAAATAGGGATCACACAAGGTGCTGAAAGAAAATACCGATCTTGTTCATACACTGAATTATGTTAAGAAAAATCTCAAATCATAAGGTTTAAGAGATATACAATTGTTGTTTGATCAATGTGCATTATGGTCCAGTGACTACGGCCCAATTATGAATTACGTAGTATATAAGATGTCATAATCAGCGCTATTCAGAGCTTATCTATTGTACGAAGCCAGTGTTTCACTGGAATGTTTCGAAGTGCTTTTAGAATATAATGCATGCACAAAGCTCCATTTGTTTAAAGCACTATATGTGTGTACATTTGTATTTAAAATAAATGATGTCATTGGTAGAATATATATATATATATAGGGTCAAGATCGGATACAAAGCATGCTTCCCGTAAAAAAATACAAATTCATCTCATCCGCCAAAAATTACAAAATCAATGAAAACAATTCAATGGGCCACTAACCATCAACCATTAATGGGGGATGTAATCCCTATTTTTTTGTCAACTGCATACGGTTAGGCAATTAGGGAGAAGTTTTGGAAACTTCCAAATTAATACACGGTAATCTCATTGTAATCTCATTTAAAAGGATGGCTAGGATTAATTTGCACTTTGTAAATTAAGATGACTTTGTATTTGATCCTAAGTCTCTCTCTCTATATATATATAGAGAGAAAGTAGTGTTCCTGTCAGGACCTCCAAAAACGGACCTCCGCACGGACCTCGGCGTTTGGGCCCTTTCCCGGTGGAATTTTTTGATGAAATTTTTTGAGCATGTTCTTCATCAAGTCTAGTTTACTCATACCAAATTTCAGCTAAAAATTCCATCGGGAAGGCAGTCAAATGATTTTTTGAAGTTAACTGGGCACTTTATATACATATAAAATGCAGTTAACTTCCAAAAATTATTTGACTGTTTTCCCGATGGAATTTTTAGCTGAAATTTGGTATGGGTAAATTAGACTTGATGAAGAACATGCTCAAAAAAGTTCATAAAAAAATTCCACCGGGAAGGGGCCCAAACGCCGAGGTCCGTGCGGAGGTCCGTTTTTGGAGGTCCTGACATGAACTTTCCTCTATATATATGTATTATATATATATATATATAAATACTCCCTCCGTCCCGGAAACAAGTTCCCACTTTTCTTATTTAGATGTCTAAAAATAAACTTCTCATTTCTTTATTTGGCAAATTATCTACATCAAAACAGTGTCGAAACAGTGTCAAACAGTCGAAACAGTGTCAAAACAGTAAAATTTACCCCTCAGTAACTTTATTTCCTTAAAATGTGTGAAAGTCAATCCGGGAAATTGTTTCCGGGACGGAGGTAGTATATGTTTTGTATTGAAATACTTTCCTTGCAACACAAAAAATTGCCTGAAGAAAGATGTTAGGAAAACAATTTCCATGACTTAATTAATCACTTGGAGGTCAAACACTATAATATGCAATAGAACAATTTACTTTCTGGGAAAAAGTTATTTTACAGAAAATATATTCTATAAAAGCATTCTCCAATGAAACCATTTCCGCACTATGTTTTATTCCTGCAATCATTTACGTGGGACAAGAATTCTGAATTGTTTCTAAAATTACTAACATCAATTGTAACAGAAGACTTTGTTTTAGATTAATTAAGAAACTACGAAGAAGAGAATTCAGGCCTTCAAAGGCAGTAAATAACTAAATACTAATATGGACCAAAACAAAATGTAAAATTTGTAGGTAAACAAAATATGGAAATTGTGAAGAATTACCTGAGCGGGGTGACAATGGCGGAGGGAGCATTAGGGAACCAGGTCAAAACAAGCCTGAGTACAAGTACTGAATTGTAGATGTTCAAGAACATCAAAATTCCATTAGTAACCACAACTCCTGCAACTGAATCTCCTGGTAAAATGGCTGCAAAACTGTGACTGCTGGTGGATAAAGCCTTAAAGTTCTTGCATCCTTTGCTGCTTTCGATCTGGAAGTGAATGAAGCTCAAATGTGTTAATGGTGGCAAATGTGTAGTTAAATAGATTATCATCAATTAGGATGGTAGGAAATGTACACAAATTATACTTAAATAAATAAACTCCTTAGGTCATTTTATACGACCTCCATGGATAAAAGAAGTTTGCATCCTGCTATTTAAAAATCATTTTCTTTGTAAAATATTTGGTTACTATTACTGAATAAAGTTCATCTGTTTTGGAAAAAAGTGGAAAGTTTTATTAGACACAATCAAATTGGGAAATAACAAGAAATGGTTAAGATAATAAAAGAAGAAAGAAAGTTAAATAGCATAGTAAACGGGAAATGGGAAAAAGAACTAAAACAAAGGAGGAGGAGGAGGAGGAGGAGGAGGAGGAGGAGGAGGAGGGGGAGGGGGAGGAGGAGGAGCTATAAAACAATAAAAGTAAAACAATAAAAGTAAAACACTATATAAGCTTTGGGCTACTCCTATCAGGTAGACTTTTTAGGATGGAATCCCGGGTCTTAACATGGTATCAGAGCCAATTTCGGTTGTGATTTGACGGCTTGTTTAGCACTCATGATTAAGGGTAGCTTGTTAAGGGTTTGTTTGGCCCGTTTATACACCCCGATATATTGTCCAATCTGGTTCGGGATGAGGGGGCGTGTTAAAGCATTTGTCTCACACCGGAAAACTATAAAACAAGTAAACACTATATGAGACTTTGGGTTACTCCTCCTATTAGGTTGACCTTTTAGGATGGAACCCCGAGTCTTAACATAGTATCAGAGCAATTTCGGTTGTAGCTTGATTGCTTGTTTGGCACTCATGATTACGAGTAGCTTGTTAAGGGTCTGTTTGGCCCAATTATACACCCCGATATTGTTCACCCCCTCAACCGGGCTGAGGGGGCATGTTAAAGTATTTGTCCCACACCAGAAAGCTATCAAACAATAAAATACTATATAAGGCTTTGAGTTACTCCTCTTATGAGGTTGACCTTTTAGGATGGAACCTCGGGTCTTAACACAAAGGCTCCCACCTATGATGCGGTAAGGGGGTCGGATGTACGCAGCCTTACCCTTGTAATAAAGCACAGAGAGACTGTTTTCAGATGACCCATGGTAAAAATCGCGTAGAAAATTGCATGGACTGACTGCGGCTTCATAACAAAGAAGCTCAGACAGTTTAGAGAGTCATTTTGCTTTATTCCATCATATTCTAAAGACAAAAATAGGTAAACTTTAGCTCCATTGCAAATGATGGAAATAGGAGGAGGTAAGAACACATAAATAAACAAGAAAAAAGACTCAAATTTTAGTTTCATGGGATCCTTGACCAATAAGGTACTGATCCAGTATTTGGTATATGAACCATCCATCCTTCAAAGCATGTATTCTCTTTGGTACCCATTGGCCATTGTTTAATAACTAAATGCTCCAGCGAATAAAAAACCCTTAACCAGTCAAAGACCCAAAGACTCAAATACCTAAATAGTGACTCAACAAGGAAGTGGAATCACTGGCAGTCAAACACAAGTTCTCACTGACCGGGTTTTTCTTGAGAGGACGCCCTAGCATGGCTACAATAAGGAAGGTCTTTGATAGCATCGGGTTCAAGGGAGGAGTACAGCTAGGGATTCTGGACTCCTGATACGTACTTCACTTTGACATGGATGAAGACTACCAGCGCTGCTGGTCGAGACAGTCGTGGAATATCAATGGCTTCATCATGCGGATAATGAAATGGAACGCCAATCTCCGCCCTAACATTGACTCACCTATGACCCTATCGTTTTGATTTGGACCGCAATGTAGGGTCTCCCCATTCACCTACAGGACAAAAGGGCCTTATATTCCATTGCCAACATGGTGGGAAAACCTCCAAACTGATATTATGGCCATAGGTTGCAAGAGTTTGTGTTGAACATGACTCAATTACTCATAAGCAAGGTTGTTAAACTCGAGATCCTAGCACGGATCGGGTGGGTCTAGGAGATCGTAACTCGGGGATCGTAACTCAGATCGTAAGATCCTACCATGCAATATATAATTAAACATAACAAGTTTAAATATAAATTACAAAACATTTGAGGGGGCTATTTTCAGAAGAGATAACCCAATTGCCATGAGCGACTTATTAATTATTATTGCTATCAGACTAGACTAAAGTCTAAACCTACGAAAGAAGTGAAAGATTTTTAAAAATGAAAATGGATGAAGCGAACGATACAGAGAACAGAGCGAGAACAAAGAAGGGATTAAGAAAACGACGAGGAACAATGATTTGACGCCGACGAAGCAGGAGAGCTTAACGTTGCAGGTGACGCTTGGGCTTCCTTCGTCGTAACTTCGTAAGTCGTCGATGTTTTTTAATTCATCGTTCCAAACTCAGTCGCTCAGGCCGCCCTGTGTTTCTCGTTTTTTGAGCTGAGAACTCTTAGCTCGATTAGATCGACGATTTATACGAGTTACGTGTTTACTCGTCAATCCAGCGATCCCAGGCTACTTTCCGATCCCAGCAGCGATCCAACTCGACCCTCCCTTTTCTAATCGTAAAATCGTATGATTCACCGAGTTAGATCGCGATCGTAACAACCTTGCTCATAAGAAGGATTCTCATTTAAACCCTCACTATATAATCACCCCTCAATTAAGTGGATAAAGTGTTGAGTGCATGTTAGGATGTTTTTAATTTTCTGGTCTGATCTAGTTTGGTCTGAACTGGTCTGGTAGGTGTCTGGTCTCTACGTATTTTACAACTGCGGAAGTCTTTCCTGGTCTAATCTGATGTGGGATTGAAATAAGTCCAAGTAAAATCATCCTTAATACATTTTGGTTGAATCTCGAAATGATTCCTCTTTAAATGAATAACTAAATAGGCAAATAGGGCGGCTCTCGAGTAAATGCTAATTGGTAAGTGGACATCTTGTATACAGAGAATACATGAGCCTTTTCAATTAAAGAAGAACTTGGGATGTAAATATATTTAAGCTCCAAATCGATCATATAATTGGAAAGAGTTGGCATATGAACATTGGCTCCATTAAATTATATAACTTGATTAAAAGGATTTTCATCCAAGATGGCTAGAACGCTTTCCCAATCTTCAAAGTAAAAAGAAACATCAGACTTGAGCAGTAGGTATTTACTCATGCGCGCGTACCTGGCGGAAACCTTGGAGATGATCAGAGAAAGATATCAGATTGTTGAAAACTGGACTCTTGGAAAATAGGAAATGTAGAGATTTGAGACAGTTATGGACGGCGGAGACAAGGGAGCTGTGGAACAGATGAGCAGCTTGCTGCGATGAATGCTCCGCCATTTTCAACAGCTGAACAACGTTTGGTCTAGAGAACGGCGGCGCGTTGAAGGGCAGAGAAATAATACAGTTGGACTGTGACTTCCGCTTCTCTTGCGAGGTCTCATCTGTGGGTGAGCGGGGAACCATTGATGGGTTCTTTGCGTATTTCACGCTCAATCTACTGGCCAGAAGAGAAGAAGATACAAAAAGTCTTGGTGTACACCCTGGGTACACCATATTGACTTTTAAGCCATTCATTTATCTATGCCGAGGATGTAATTTTACTTTCATACTAGGTTTAGTTCTTCCCTGCAAAGCTGTTTTCATTTTATTTTATGAAAAGCTTTGTTGCGTATTGAATGAAGGGATTTTTTGGTAAAAAAAAGTATGAACCAAGAATGGGTTGTGTGTTTGTTGAAATTGCAGTGTATTACATGGAATTGGTATTTATTTGTGTATATTTATTGTGTGAGTTATACACAAAAGTGGGAGATTGATGATACCATTTGGTTTGTAAGTGTTAGTTTGCCAACATGATTGGAGTTGGAGTTATCTCTGAGCTTCATTTTACTTGTCTGTGAGCTTCATATTATTGCCTGCGAGCTTCATATTTAGTTGTGTATGAGCTTCAAATATTGTCTGTGAGTTTCAGGTGACTTGTTTGTGATCTTAGTATTGTTGTTTGTGAATAACATGAATACATTCATTTGCAGGGCATAATGTCTGTTTGCACCGACAATTGTATATTTTTACGTGTTACTATCGTCTGTGCATACCGACAATTAGATGTAACAACTTACGATTGTGGACTTTTCGTGTGTTTTCAGCATTGAAGAGTTAGGAGTCATGGTGATGGCAACGTTTGTTGAGCATTTGCTGTTGGAGTTACCATTGGCACTGGGTTTTGAGTACGAGATTATAGGATGTTGTACAATAGTGTGTGGGGTTATGTATAAGATTGTAACTTGAATGCTAAACTTTAATGCATCTGTATTTTGTAAACATTTCATGTGTTTGTATACACACTTTCAAGTTTGTGTTAAGGAAATGTGCTTGTGGTAACATATTGTATGTTAGCATACTTACAGTTGTCTATATGCACCGACATTGATACATGCGTTATTGTTATTATTTTTTGTTTTCACCGACACTAATAGGTGTGTTATTATTTTGTCTGTGTGCACCGACATATAGTAGGGGTGTGAAAACCTGATCGAAACCCGAAAATCGAGCCTGATTTCAAGTTCGGGCTTTAACTGGCTCAACCCAAACTTGGACCGAATATAATGAGCTTTGTTCTGGTCCCTAATTACCGTACGGGAAATTTCCGGCTTTAGCAAAAACTCGACCCAAACTGGACTAATCGCACCCCTAACTTACAATAATATATATGTGTGTTTTATTGTTCTTATTATTGTCTGTGTGCACCAATAGTAATATGTGTGTTGTTGCAATTATTGTCGGTGTGCACCGACAACAATACTTGTATTTTGATGTTCTTATTATTGTTTGTGTCACTACTAGAAAACTGATTTCTAACTTCGGGGGTACAATGGTTGAGGTTAATTCAGACTCATCAGTAGCGATTTCAGAAATTTTAAATGGCTCGAGCAGTTTAGCGGTGGGTTTACTAAGTGAAGACATTAAGGATTTGACGAAGCATTTTTCGAGCATTTCTTTTAGTCATGTTAAGCGGTCAGCGAATAAGTCTGCTCACTTGTTAGCTAGGGCGGCTTGTTCTTTGCCTGATTCGCAATTTTGGTTTTTTTTTCTCCTCCTTTTATTGTATCAGCGTTAGCAAACGATTCGATTATTGATAATTAAATGATTTAAATCCATTCCTTTCAAAAAAAAGAAAACTGATTTCTAACCACGAACAAAATGGTTATTAAATGGTCTCAAAGTGGTTGTTAAAGTCATTTATCATTTAAATAGGCTCCATCATTAAAAGTTATAACGACGACTTTCATCGTTAAAGGTTATAACGGAGAGCGCTATAACCAGCACTAAAGTATTAAACGAGCACTAACCAAGAAATATTCACAAGTCAGTGAGTCACAACCAAGATGAATTTTAAGTTTAAATCTGCAATGTCAAATTTACATGTAAAAGGTCGTTCTTTTACTCAGAAAAATGAAAATTGCATGACAGATTCTACAAAATACATTATCATATATAAGCATAATTGTTCATTGATTACAAAATAAAAGAAAAAAAAAATATGAAAGATCCTCAAACAGAACTCGTGAATATTGAAGGATGGCAACTTCTGTCTTCAAATACCTATAACCTATTGAAACAACAACAACAACAACAATAAAGATATTAGAAATCAATAAATGAAGTATGCACAATTCAATCACAGAGAACAACTATGTAATGTCTCGGCCATCTGTTTAAAATACACAAGCTTAATATCATGAATAAATCCTCTAGTGTAAGTTGATATAATAATACTATAAATACTAGACTTGCAAAGACTTCCAAAAAGAAAAGCTCAAAACAATAGACTTGCATGAAAAACCAGCACTCATATGTGTTAGTTAGCTAATAACATATCACTACATTTTAAGATTAAATTAATCATATTTGACACAATACAAATAAAATAAAATAACCAACTTGCCATCAACAATACCTTGGGTACAGGTCTGACTCTCTTAATTGGTGTCAACACTGAGTGCCTCACACATTATTTAGAAATCTTGCTTTAACATTTTCAAAATGAATGTCCTGCTGCAAATTGGATGTTCCAGATCAACTTGAAAATTAATAGCTAGCTACAATATACAACGTAATATTTACTTTGTTTCAAAATATATTTAGCATCACGGATATCTCGTGTGACTGCAGGAAGACATTTAAATTATAAGAGATGTATGCTAAAAAAAATCTGGATGACTAGATAAAGTTCAATAAATGCTTACCAAACCAATTTATGTTTGCAATTAAGTCGTAACACTACTTTTTGGAAGGAAGACAATTCTATCTCTTTAGAGATCATTGTGCTCTTCACTTGATGATGACCAATGCTCATGAGAGCGTGAAACCATCAATTTTAAGTTCCCGATTCAAACGTATATAAAAAATTTAAGCCACATGAATCTGGATAGAGTAAAATCAAGTTAGATAATCTTATAAACAGTTATCAATAGAAATCTAATATATAAAACCCCTGAGAAGTCTATAATATACCTGAAATGAAAATAGAAAATCCAAAGAAAAACTAAAACCAATTCAAAAGTAGTGTTGAGAGTGAGAAACAAGAGAGAAAATGAGGTGGCTGAAATAGTGCTACTGAGGATTAAAAAGCAATAACAGTAATTCTCACCCAAATAATTTAGCTTGAGGACTGTATCTACCAATAAATAACTGTACTTAAATATTACAAAAGAAAAGACAAATAATATATCTTCAATGAGGACATATATAAACTGGTATGCATCGAGGACATAGCCAATAATATGCCTTTATTCTTTTAGAGCTTATAATAAAGTGGTAAAAAAACACATTTTCACTAACGACAAAACAGATGAAGTTGAGAAATACATTAACTACATTAACAGACTATTCCCAATAATAACCTAAAAGTGAGTATTTAAGTTCATGCAGTAATACTCCGTAATGATTAGTTCTTAATGATTCATATGATATGAGTAACTTTTTAAATACTTTCCTTTTTATCTTCATGATGGGTAGTCCCATTAAGAAGTCAAAAACTAGAAGTGATTTGCATTATTATTAATCACAGAGTAGGCAAACAGGAAATTTCAAATCAGTTTTGTAATAAAAACGATCAAGCAAGTTAACTATCTAATTTAAGAAGTATATTATAAAACTCCATCTCTAAGTGATGATCTCTAATAGTTATGCATTGCTAAGATTAAAGAGTATCTTCTTTAAACAGGACTCTTTCTATTAGGCCAAATGGAGTCAATAAAAACACATATTGGTAAACACATATTGGTTAGTTTTAATGTACTAAATAAAATTACTATAATAACAATTATAGTTAGAATGAGTCTCCTAAAAAATTATCAGACCTTGCGGCTAAGAAAAAGAAACAAAGCTAAAGCTGGATGAAAATGGGTTTTGAGAACTGAAAAACCTCTCTGTCTATCTCTGTCTACAAAATTAGATAATTATTATGTTACACAAATAACTTTTCATCACACGTCTTTCATTCAAATGACACTATTAGTCTGTACAGACCGACACTAGTTGTCGGTAAAATCACTCAGAAAACTTTCATTCGTCTGTGCACACCGACACTAGTTGTCGGTAAAATCACTCGGAAAACTTTCATTCGTCTGTGCACACCGACACTAGTTGTCGGTAAAATCACTCGGAAAACTTTCATTCTTCTGTGCACACCGACACTATGTTGTTTACATCCCCGGCCAAGCTTCGACTTTTGTTATAACTCACACAACAACCTCACAGACACTTCACTACTCTTACATAACTACTCACAGACAACTTTAAGCCAAACCATCTCGCCACACAAACACTGCAATTTGAACACAAACACAATCAATTATTGATTCATTTTTCAATTATATCTCTGTTTTCCGACTCACCTCTGTTTTTAGCTGCAGCTCCTTCTCGGTTTCCGGCTGTAGCTCCTTCTCCGTTCACAGGTGTGTCCATAGTCGTACCTCTGTCGTCGTTCGCACCTACCTCGTTCAAACCACCGTTCCGGTCGCACCTCCATTCCCGACTGCAGATCCTTCTCCATTCGCTTGTGTGTCCTTCGTCGCAACCTGTTTTGGTTCGCAGTTATATATCCCATCGCCCCTCCATCTAAGATAAAAAATAAGAGAAAACCATCAATTTAATTAAAAAGAAAAAAAAGGGAGAAAGGTTGGGAGAATGGGAACTCTCGTAACCGTGAAGTCAAGGAGAGAAGAGGGGCTGACTTCGAAGGCACATGGGTGAGGAGGGGTAAAATGCTCAGTAAAATTATAGGTATTTATATGGTGTACCCCAGGGTGTAACCCAGGGTGTACACCAAGACTTTTTGAAGAAGATAATAAAGAAGATAAAAGGCATCTTGGGAGGGAGATAACGTGTAAACAAAAAAAAAAGTAGGATGCTTAATTAAATCTAGGGAAAAGTATATATAAGCTACCTGTGGTTAAGGTCATTTACAAAGAGGGTCATGAGTTTCATTTTTTCCCAAACACATATTCGTGCTTTCCTTCCGTTAGCACCACGGGAGTCTCAGCCCATTGGCCGTTAAAAATTAATGACGTGGACCATTATTCCGTCCAAATGGAGCCCGCGTGGCTGTAACATGGCCATGTCATTAATTTTTTTTGAATTAGATACAGTAATGGTTTTAGAGCGTTTCATTAACATCAAACGAGAAATTAGGTTGAAGGTTTGGCGGTCGGAGAAGAAGCTGAGTCCAAAAATCTTGCTGGTCTTTATCAAGTAAGTTGAAAATTGAAAAAACTTACTTAACCTTGGTCATTTTATACACAGAGTAAACGAGTATTTGGTTTTTCAGTATTGTTTGTTGCATCGTTGAAGTAAAGGTGTTGAATATTGATTTTTGATTGACTTTGTGATATTGTATGTACAGACTGGTAATGGATGATGACAGAGTGAACTTGTGGATTCACCATGGTGGGAAATGGGATTGTCCGAAAAAGAAGAAACAATATTTGGGAGGTGAGGTCAAGATAATGGAGAATGTGGACATAGACTTCCTTAGTATGTTTGAGTTAGAAGGGTTATACTAATGGGGTAGATATGTGGTTTAGAAGGTTTAGTGAGATGTGTGGGCCTGTTTCTTTGCAACAAATTGGTTGTGATAAAGATGTGCAGGACATGTTGGTTTGCAAGATACTGGGCTACCAAAAACCCGACTCGGACCGAATATGATGGGCTTCGTTCCGGTCCCTAATTTTCATAACCGAGACCTTCCGGGTAATTTCCGGGTTTAGCAAAAACCCGACCCAGACCAGACCGATCCCACCCCTACAAAAAAGTGCAATCATTTCAATTTTGAAATCTTCTGAAAAAACAAAATGATTTTTATTAGATATTTTCTCGTTCTTAAGGTCCTTAAACAAACCAGAAATCATTTGGAAATTGGAACTGCTTCTAAATTTTCAATTTTATTTTCTTCAATTTTCTTCTTCTCCGTGTTGTGAGTCTAAAGAATTTTGATGGACTTGAGATTTGAGAAAGAAGGATATGAAGATTTCTGAATCAAATTCTTGTTTTTGTTTAAGAGATCTTAATTCTTCTTTTATAATCTTAATATCTTCTTGAAGAGAGTAACGTGTGTTTTAGATCTTGTTTTACAACGATTTTTGTCAAATCATAGGTAGTCTTTGGAAGTAATTTTTATGAAGATGGGAGAGGTTGAATTTCTTTTGGATCAAAAGTGTGTAATAGTTTTCCTATTACAAGTGAACATATTTTTTTTGGATGAATTACAAGTGAACATATTACTACACAGAAAAAATCATTCATCTTCTGTCTTCTTGATAAGGTCCTTCACTTTCTTGGTCCTTCAACAATCCTAGTAAAGCAAGAAAGCCAAAAAAGAAGAAACCGCCTGACCAGTTGCCTCCTCCACCACCTCCACCGCCATCACCATCATCATCACGGGGTGGTAATCCCGCTCCGCCATCATCAAGCTCTGGAGATTTTTCCTTTCCTGAAAATAATAATACCTTAAATAAATAGCTCAACACTTTCCACAAAAACCATACATACTATGATACTAGCGTTTTTATTAATTCTGTGAGTAGCTGACAAAAAGGTGAAAGACTTGCCTTGAATAGGTGCGACAGTAATGGTTGATGATTGACGAGTAACAGTTTGGGTTTGTCCTTCCGCACATCTTGCATTCTGAATTACAGCTCAGATTAAAAAGAGGTTACTATGTGAGCTAGCTGCACTTAGCAAAACTTACAGGTAGCAGTTATAACATCCAATCATTGGGTTCAAGAAGGCGTTGGAACCGTGTGCCTAAAGGCTTTTAAGCCTCATGCGCCGGTTAAGGCTTAGGATGTTTTTACTTGGACTATTTTCAGTCCCATAACAGACCAGACCAAATCAGAACAGATCAGACTTCCGTAGTTATAAAAGACACAGACCATAAATAAATAGACCAAACCAGACTAGCAAATTTCGGTCCAAGTAAAAACATCCTTAACCTCATTTTACCAAATAAAAAGTTCAGCAAAACTTCATAATCAGGCTTTATTAATCATATCAGGTCCAAAAAGTCTTTGTCTGGACTACTTTGAGTTAGTTAAACAAATTAAGGATATTTTTACTTGGACTGTTTGCAGTCCCACACCAGACTAGACTTGGACAATTATAAAATACACACAGACCAGACATTTACCATATCAGACCAATTCAAGCAAGATAAAACCAGACCATACCAGAAAATTTCAGTTCAAGTAAAAACATCCCAAGTATTTTAATATGCAAAGCACTAAGATCACTAGGTACACATTTTTCTCCTCTGTTTTGCAGCCAGTCCTGCTACTTTTCTAGGAGCTGCATTGTACATGAGTATTAGTTTAGAGCTTTTATATAACAAGGAAATATTAATCACCCCCATGCACGATGCTGGTTCAGTAGCAGTTCCTAGCAATAATCTTATGGCTACTTTTTAAGTGTTTACAAGACTACCTGTCTTGAATGTTTGGTTATTTCGCATCTTCAATGAATTCTACGGAGTATAACTTTACTATGCAATTATATTTGTTATCAGGCACTAAATAGTCATTTATATTATTTAGGACTTCCCCATTTATGCTTTCCAGACATAAATGAGATATACAAAATTGTATAATATTTTTTTAGTTAAACGTAAAGGCTTAATGCCTAGGCTCGGTTCGCCTATAGGCTTGCACATTGTGAGTGAAGTAAACGCCTAGAGGCTAATTTTAGCCTTTCAAAACCTTGCCAATGGTAATGAACATTGAACAGTTTTGAAAAAATGCTCATGTTTTAAGAAATAATTAATCCCTATCATAGGTTCCATACCTTGCCCGCATGGACCAATTAGAATATTGCAATTAAACAATTTAAATATTAATAAGTGGTGAGATAATGACTAAGACCAATCATATGTATTGTAGGTACGGTACACTCATTTATTTATAAGGTACTGCAGCACTCACCATATAGTTACCATAAAGCTATTAAACCTTTCTTTTCATCATCATCATTACCCCAGTGCCGCAAAGGCTCCCACCTACGGTGGGGTAAAGGGGGTCAGATGAACGCAGTCTTACCCCTGTGCTAAAGCACCGAGAGATTGTTTCCGGATAAATTTTTCTTTTATTGAAGAAAAAAGAGAAACTGTGATTTTATCTTCTTGTTTAGTAATGAGAATATAGAGTGTGTGTGTGTGTGTAAGAGAGAAATTGGAGATCACACGAGCTTTTACCTTCTCTCCTCCCATGAGAAGGAAGGGGGGGATCCCTTTTTAGTGTTTTTTCCATTCATACCATCTACCTCCTCGTTATATATTTTTACTTGTAGGGATATCATAATTCGTCATTTCCATAGCAGCATGCACTTCTTTCTCTTCTTATTCCCTCCTACCAAACAATTATGTATTGCGTAGTATAAAATCCACTTGCTCACATTTTTTATTTTTCTTTCCTCTAACACTCTTTCTTCTCCCCTTCTTTCTTAACCCTCTTTCAACCAAATAAATCCTAGAAGCATTACCAGCAATCCAGCATCACATAAGAAGATGCAATATCCAGCCTTCAGGAGCTTTGCATCTATTCGGCAAGCATTTATTCCTTATTTAACAGCATAATTAATTGAGATAAATTTTCCACTTCAGGGAATCAGGTCCCAAAGCTATTTGGTCATTCTCACTTTTGGTCCATAACTTCACTTTTTCCAATGAGCTTAAAGGTAAGACTGGATTCATGTCCAGAGCATAGCTTAAAATTAGAGAACAAAGTTTCCTTAAGCTAGACCAAAAGATAGGTAGGACTGGGTTCATGTCCAGAATATCATGAGGCCCAATAGCTTGAATATTTAGCCCAACATGTATAAAAACAAATCCAGCCTTTACATGGAAAGACTCCAGATCCCAACATGTATAAAAACAAATCCAGCCTTTACATGGAAAGACTCCAGATTTCCCCTATGATATTGAGGCTTGAGCCTCAATAAGCCTTGGTGCCTTTAAGCTTCACACTTCTGCGCCTCAAACTCCTTAAGCATAAGTCTCATATCAGTCGAATGAGGTGTAAGCCTTAGGAGCATTTTCTTCACACATTAGTGCCTCAGAGGTGTAAGCCTCAACTGCCTTTTTTAAGCAATGATCCAATGAAAATTAACAGTGGGAATGATGATATGGTCGTGGGACCAAAGTGGAAACTTTTCTTCAATAAAAGGCAGCATGCCAGCATGGTATTAAAAGATTGCCCATCTTTTTTTTGGTCAAAAAAGATTGCCCATCTAAAAAGGAATTATAATACTACTGAACTACCCGACTGCTAAGAGATCAGCAAATCAATTTTATGCACGTAGTAAAGAACAGCAGATTAGAAAAATGAATTACCAGAGCAGCTGAACAAATTATGGAAGTACGTCCCCCCTGTGCAGTACATATTATATTTCTTCTGTATTGCCTGAGTTGTGATTTTGCATGAAGAGGCTTTAGTCCAACTGGACCAAATGCAATATGTTTGGTAAGCTGTTTACACACTTGAGACCCTGCTAGCACAAAATATGTTTTTAAACAATGCCTAATCATACACAGCATAACTTAGACATGCACCCAGTAACATTCTTATACCAATTCGCCAACAAAAAACACCCCATCAATCCTATAATAAGGTCCTGCTTTATCAAACTCAGCAGACAGCTCTTTTCGTGTAATTTGCCAAAACATGTTGCATACAAGTTGTGTGTGATAACTTCAGTAAAACGAAAAAACTATTAAAAGAAGGGAAAACTACTGAAATAGGAGTAAAAACATTTTGGAATTCCAAAATACGAGTACTATGTTTTTACTGCTTAAATAAGAGTAAATGCTGCCGAGCTTGGAAAATATTACCATGATTAAAAGCTGGTAATACTAAAACATGACAGTAATTAGTAATTACTCCTATTTAGAGAATAAAAACATAGTACTCCTATTTTGGAATTCACAAATGTTTTACTCCTATTTAGGGCAATTTCTTTTAAAAGAATATAAAAACAAGACTAGGATTAGTGATTTATAGCAATTCTATCTTAGGAAAATTAAAATTTTGTACCTTCATCAAATAAGTGTCTTTTTATTTATTTTTTATTTAATTTGGGGGGTCTGCTATTGGAGTAGATAGGATTTTGCCAAAGTTGAAAGTGTAAATAATCATGTAATGATCCTAGGCCATGAGCTCAAGTGCTGCATCCTCTCTATTTTTTCAAATGACAGAAGAATATGAAAGTAAAAACAAGAAGCGGGGTTGTCTTATCTCATGATGTCAAAAATGGAGGAAGGAAGTTGATCTATGAGAATGATCACACCTCAATAATGTTTAGGAAACAACGTCAATTACCGGGGGCGCGGCTCACCTGGTAGGAAGGGGGTGCCACAAGGGAGAGGTTCTGGGTTCAACTCCAAGCAATGACTTGGGATGGTACCCAACTCTCTTTTCATCTGAGTGAGATCAAAGTTCAACTTAGGGATGGGGTGTCATCCTTTTTAGGAAACAACGTCAATTACAAATTGCCAATCAGTAGAATAGATGCTCGGGATGAACTCAACCAATTATGGGCATTTGATGAGCACATGTTTGTGCATGGTGGTGAACATGGACATCTATGAGAGTTTCTATATGTCTCACAGTCCAGAAGACAGTTTCTTTATGCTTTCATAGTTTCTCTAGCATGTCGCACTTCATGGCCTAAAGGTATGACTGGGTTCATGTCCAGAGCATTAGCTTTTAAAGCCAGAGAATGAACTTTCCTTGAAGCTAGACCAAAAGATATGAGAGGGCCAGACTGGTTTCATGTCCACAATATCCTGAGGCCTAATAGCTTAAAAATTTAGCTCAAAATGTATTAAAAACTAATCCACTCTTAAGTCTTAAC